GGAAAGCTCAAGTACCAGTCGAGTTCAGTTGAACTTTGTTTTGAACCGAGATTGTACAACTGGGCCTTATAAGATTATCTTGTTATGATTACAAAAGGAACTTTTGGTGGTCAAAAAAAAATATTAATGGTATAAAGATATTCATCTGTTATTATTAAAATGTTTATATTATCCCTTATAAGATATATTAAGGGTTAATAATACAGGCTGGAATTTTTAAATGGAATAAATTCAGTATCAGAAAGCCTGTTTATTTTCTGGAAAAATTTAAAAAAACGGGTCCCTTTATTTTTAGTTTGGCAAATTTTTTCGACCTTTTTATGGAATTTACCCCTAAAATTAATTCTCTCAGTGCAATCATCACCAACCTTCTGTTGCAAGACAGCACCAACACAGTTGTCGGAATTATCAACAAAGATGTGAGTTGCAGCATTTTGTTTGGGAAATACATGCATTAACTTGACAGAGCAAACTTGATATCCTCGAACGCAATAATTCTATTCTCATCTGCTTTAGATGTCGCCAATAGCGAATTCAATGGTTGCAAAATTTTTGCACAATTCGGAATAAAACGATTGTAAAAATTAATTATCCCAAGAAATTTCCGCAATGAGCGAATAGTCATCGGGCGAGCGAAAGTTTTAATAGCTTCAATTTTCTTCTCTAGAGGATGAATTCCTTCTGAGGTTATTTTGTGACCCAAGAATTCAATCTCTGAGACAGACAAATTGACTCTTTTCAATATTAATGAATATAACATGTTTGTTAAGTTGCTGCAGAAACAAGCGAACATATTCTTAGTGTTGCTCAATTGTTTCACTGGCAAATAAACAGTCATCCAAAATAGGTGAAGCAAAATGGAAGGTTACGAGTTAATTCATTCATGTACCGTTGAAATGTTTGAGCCGCATTTCTTAGTTCTAATGGCATAGTTATGTATTCGAACAATCCAAATGGAGTGCAAATTGCTGTCTTTGGAATATCTGCTGGGTTAATTGGAATTTGATAATATGCTCGTACCAAATCTATTGTTGAAAAAATTTTCTTTCCTTGAAGCTCTGGAAACTGAAATCATGAATATGAGGAATGCCATATCCATCAGGCTTAGTAATGTTATTCAGTGCCCTAGAATATCCGCAAGGTCTCCAAGTCCCGTTTGATTTAGGAACCATATGTAAAGGAGAAGACCAGTTGCTTGATAATGGTCTGATAATGCATACATCAAGAAGTCGACTGAGTTCTTTTTTAACAATTTCAAGTTTCTCTGCTGATACTTTGCCAAGTTTTTAAAATACTGGAGGACCACTTGTTTCGATAAAATGTACAGTTTTATGTTTAAATTTTGAAGGTCTCTCATCCTGCCTCAAAAACTGTGGGTATTCCATGGTATACGAATAAAATGTGTTGGAAATCAGTGGGAATTTCAGTCAAGACGATTGAACATTTCATTGACTTCACATCTGATTGAGTACCTTTCGCAATTTTTGACCTAGATGAACTAGGTATATTAGAATATTCATATCAATTAATAAATCAAAATGTGTCAAAAAGTCTTCTCCAACAATCGGATATTTGATATTTGCTATGACAAGCTTCCATTCAAAACTGTTGTCTATATCAAATTTAAGTTGCAAAGTTCTGTTTTATTTGCTTTATCCAATTAGCAATTAGCCAATTTCAAAAATTATTGAAAGAGCCCATTGCTAAAAAGTAAAAAAAAAATTCGAATGAATGCGATACGTCATAGGTTTTGGGACATCAGAAGCTCTTAAAATCTGAATTAAAAAATCCAGGGTGGTATTTAAAACAATAAAGTTGATGAGGGTGCCCCAAAGACTAAACGTCTAATGTCATCTTATAGAGTAAGAAAAGTGGTAAAGATGAAGTGACATTGATTTTGAAATATCTCCTAAAATAAGCCCAGGAAAAAATAAAATCGATTTTGCAAAATTTCGGTTTTTTCCGGATATCTCGGAAAATGTTCGAAATTTTTCAAATGTCAAAGTACCATTTTATTGAGCGTTAAATTCCATAACGTTTTTCCCAAACTGTTGCCGTATCTGCTACTGTTTACGAGACTACATGATAGACATCCTTATCTTGGACACCCTGTATATAAAGATACAAACATACAGGGTGTCCCACGGTGGATGGCGTATTAGACGTTTTTGAAGAATTAAATAGCGGATCATTTTGAAACTTTGGCAACCGGGATAAACGACCATGATCTACACTTTAAAAATATTTTCGACCATGCGGTGTTGCCGCTTCTACTCTAAACCAATGGCAACATCGCTATTTTAAATGGAAAACCCTGTATATTTTTAAATTCGGCATATAATTATGAGTAACTTTTCCTAATGGTTCCCTATACCTATCTGTCGCCGTTTTTAAAATTAATTTTTAACGAAAACAGGACTTCCAATAAATCTCAATATCTTCCTGCTATAAAACAATTAATTTTGAGCTGAAATTTGGATTATGCCTGAACAATGCCTGTAGGTATCTGATGTTTCGCTCACACCTTGGTTCTAGCATACAGGATGGTCAAGAAATTAATTTTTGTCGGTAACTTACAAAAATGCCAGAAAAATGATTTTTTTTAATGGAACACGATGTATAGTAATACGGATTTGAAAAGCTGATAAAACCAGCTTTCAGACTATGTATACTTTGCCTATATACCTAATTCTTCATGTTTTCGATTTATTAGCGTTTATTCATAAAATTTCATAATCGACAAACTTTCAACGGTTTTAATAGTAATGGGAGAATAAATTTTTTGTTACAATCACCATGACAACTTGTTTTATAAAAATTTCATTCTTTCAATACCTAATTGTTATGCGAGTACCTACACTAAAATGGCGGAAGATAATAATCACTCCAATACAAGTTTAATGAATTTATTTATTATACATGGACAGCGTGATCAAATAATTAGCAGAACTTGCAGAAAATTTAATGAAATGTATCCGAATTTGCCGCAGATGAATAAGAAATAATTTCTTCGCCTCCAGAATAATTTTATGCAGTTTGGATCAACTTTAAATTCATCAAGAAATTTGCCGAGACCAGTGACTTCTAATGAAGAGAATGAAATTAATGTTTTCGCATACTTTAACGCATATCATCACGGTTCCGTGCGAAGCGCCGAAGAAGGCATAAACATTGCACATTCATTGGTAGGAAGGATTCTAGAGAAACATGGAATGCATGCTTATAAATTTACCAGGATTCAAGCTCTTAAGCCTGGATATAGTCGGAAGAGAGTCGAGTTTTGCGACATTATGCAAGTGCATATCCAAGAAGATCCAAATTTCTTAAGTAAAGTTATATGAACTGACGAATCCAAATTGGATGGTGTCAATACCCGTTTATTGGAGTGTCTAGAAGTTAATGGCCAACATTTTGAACATTTGCTTAAAAAATAGTCCATTTCTGTTTATTAATGGCTTTCAATTCTATTTGTAATAATTTCTATTATTTGTTGCATTCAAAATTGACCTAAACTGCATAAAATTGTTCTGAAGCCGAAGAATTTTTTTGTTATTCATCTGCGGCAAATTCGGATACATTCCATTAAATTTTCTACAGGTTCTGCTTATTATTTGATCACACTGTTCATGTATAATAAATAAATTCATTAAACTTGTATCGGAGTAAATATTATCTTCCGCCATTGTAGGTACTCAAATCACAATCATTAAAAGAATGACATTTTTATAAAATAAGTTGTCATGGTGATTGTAACAAAAAATTTAATCCCCCATTAGGTAGGTACTAATAAAACCATTGAAAGTTTGTCGATTATGAAATTTCATGAATAAACGCTAATAAATCGAAAACATGAAAAATTAGGTGTAGGTATACATAGTCTGAAAGCTAGTTCTATGAGCTTTTCAAATCCGTAGTATTATACAGGGTGTTCCATTCAAAAGGGATAATTTTTCTGGCATTTATGTAAGTTACCGACAAAAATTAATTTCTCGAGCATCCTGTATGCTTGAACCAAGATGTGAGCGAAACATTAGATGCCTAGAGGCTTTGTTCAGGTCTCAAAACTGTTTTAAAAAATATTTTTGAAGTGTAGATCATGGTCGTTTATCCCGGTTGCCAAATTTTCAAAATGATCCGCTATCTAGTTCTCCATAAACGTCTAATACGCCATCCCCCGTGGGACACCCTGTATATTAAACATATTTCATTGATAAACTGATAGACTAGCTTCGTTAATTAACTTTGAAGTTCGCAAAAGTCTCTTTATTCTTGTTCGTTCAATTGGAAAACCGACAGTATATATTCCATACATTCGGTTAAGGCCTATTTGTTTTAGTAGGCCCTGTAAAGTCTCCCCTTTTTGTTCAGCAAGGCTCCCGACCACGCTATTCCCAAGTTGCCATGTCATCAGTTGCGTTGCTGCGCGATGATTGTATGGGATGTTTCAAACTTTCAATATCATTTATTACGTTGAGAATTTAATCTGCTTTAATGACATCCACCCTCTTTACTGCTATTGCTGCTGCTTTTTACTTGATGCCTTTTAGACCAAATTGTGTCGGTTTTCATCTTTGACTGAGGACGATCTTTAGACACTGATTTTTTTGGAAAGTAATTCTTTAAGTAATCGAAGTTCACAAAGATGAAAAAAGGGCAAATAAATGAAATAGAACCCTTGCTGAATCGAAGAGTTTGTTATTTTCGCACGAGTTCAAATTCGTGACTGAGAATTTTACAATAATTTGAAATAAATAGGTACAGGAAAATTGATGGTTTTAGTTAATCAAAAACTTGGAAAACAGCTTTTAATAGCGTGTTTTCGCAAAATTTTTAACAGTTAAAATATAAATCACAACTGGGAAATAAAGCTCCTTATCCCCAAAAATAAATCGCTTAGTAAAGTTCTCGATGATCATTATCAATTATTATTTTTCTAAATCCGATCAAGTTAAACAGCGCATAAAATCTCAAAACAAATAGTCGTCATCGTGTAAACCTACCTTTCATGATAATCTTCTGGATAGGGTATAAAGGTTCCCTCGGGACTGGGCCTAGGGGAATTTCCGATCCAGAAAAAAGCGTCTGGGCCGGTGCCGTCGTAAGAAAAGCCCTTTATGAAAATTGTGGTTTCGTCTACGGCATATGCGGTGCCTTTTATCCCGTGGGCGAACTCTACTAAGGGTCCAATTTTTGTCCCGTAATACGGTTCAGGGTGTTTCTTTGATGCAACTGAAACAGAAAAAACATATTCCTTCTTAAGAGATAGGTTTAGAGCTCTCAACGGACAATGCATTATGTTTTCAACAATAGAATAAATGGTAATTAAATAAATTTGGTCAAAGACAGAAAGGACATTGGCGCGTTTGATTTCCTTTTCCACTGTTTTCGTCTACTGGTATTTGTATTTCTATAAGATTTTTTTATATTGTCCTATATTTTCTTATATTGTCCTGTGGTCGCACTAGCTTTCAATAATATGAATATTTTCATTGTCAATTGTTTTAGGTTTGTTCACGTCAACGCTTATTAGGCTCACAAACCGTAACAAGATTTGGTCCCATTTAGAGGTTGTTAGGAATTAAATCCTATACGACATATCAAATAGGTAATTGGCAAAATCCATACAACCCAAAAATCCCATCTTAGTCGTGTGTTATCCTTTTCAAACAAAGAAAAGTGGCATTTCTATAAAACATACGAAAACATTTTATTTTATCATAAAATATAGGATTTCTTTCGCGGTCATTCCTTTCCTCCTCCAATGAAGAGTTTTAACATAAATGAGAAATTTCGAGACGCCTCTGAACTAAAGAAAATAAAATGCTTCAATTAAAATCATTGCAGTGGCGTTCAATGCCAACGGAAACATTAAAAATCTAATAAAACAACAGTCTTGAAAAATTCAAATTGATTTTATTCAGTTATGATAGAGTTTAAAGAAAATGTGTGGATTAAAATGGTTTAATGCTCGTAAAAAATTAAGAAAAAATATCACACATGGATGAAGTTCACTAGAATTAGTAGGTACCGCATATTACCCACCTCGGGCTCTAATAACAACCTGCATAGGCCTAGGCATGGACCGGATTGAGGTCCTAATGTCTTCCTGATCGATTTTTCCTGATATTTCCTGAAGTGCCGCAGCAAGCTCCACCAAATGGGTAACAATGAGTTGGCTTTAAAATATCCTATTTTCTTAATAATTTTTGAAAATGCTGTTTTCATACCACATATTTAAATGTACTGGAATGGCGCCATTGATGACGTCAATGCTATGAAGAACCGAACGGCAACGTTGTAAGGTTATGTGAGGTACGTCCTTAGCTAAACACTTATTTTTTCGCCATAAAACAAAAAACAAATTACCGAAACACGCGTGTGATCAAAGTTGGGGCATTGTAATTCAAGTGCAATAATGAATCTGGGCCAGACGTCCAAAAATTACTTAAAAAAAACGTGATAATAAACAACATAAATAATTATTCTAACCTAGAGCCACTCAACAGTGTTGTCATTGTGACAAATAGGTAAATCATGGATAAGTGTTTAAAATGTGATAAACAAATAGACAGCGAATATTATCAATGCGACTGTTGTTTTGCTAAAATGCACAAGCAATGTCTGGAACTACAATCAAGTGAGGTAAGAGCTATTCCCTTGCAGAAACGTATCTTAATGCTCCTATGTGATTCATGTCGACAATATATGTCAAAACTACCCACTATTATTAAAATGATCGAAACCCTAACTGCTGATATAAATCAAATGAAAAACACTGTAGAGGAAGCAAATAGAACGGAGGTTGAACTTCTTCAACAAAATGTCGGAGACTTAACCTTCGGAAATCAAGAGCTAAAAAATAAAATGGAAGAAATGGAAAATAATTATTGTGATAAAAAACAAAAACAACTACAGAATTTAGAGGGAAAGATAGAAGAATGTTTCATAAATCACAGCCAAGAAAGGCGAAGTTATGCATCAGCATTTATTGATAAAAAAAAACTAGTATCCAAGAAAATGTTTTGAATCTACCTAGCATTATCATTAAACCAAAAATGCAATACCATGCCAATATAACAAAAATGGATATTGAAAAAAGTATTGATCCGATAAGATTAGGAATCGGGATCAAGAGTAGAAAAGAAAAATCTGACGAAAAAGTTATCACTAAACAGAACAAGCTTTAAAAGAACTTGGTACGAAATATGAGATTATGGAAACAAAAATAGGAAACAAAAAAATAAAAACTCCAGGTTTTGAAAAAAATCTCACTGACGAACAAATAGAAAAATCTGTATTGAGTCAAAACAATATTTTCTGCAAGAAAATAATTTCAAAATACGCTACATCAAATCACACAATGACAGCAGGAAAAAAACTATATATGCAGAATGCTCACCAAGAGCTTTTAGTGTTTTAATACATAAAAAAAATATATATATTGGATGGGAAAGGTACCCAATATATGAAGACTACAATATTCTAAATTGCTTTAATTGCCAACAGTATTATCACAAAAGTACGAACTATACTAACAGGCAGGTATGTTCAAAATGCTCAGGTGAACATGATTTCAAAAATTGTAGGAGTGATAATAACAAATGTTCAAACTTTTGTTTTGCAAATCAGCGTTATTAAACAAAATATAATGTGGATCATCAAAGTTCTGATTTGGAGTGCAAATGTCTACAATATCAAATTCAGATTGCGAAATCAAAAACTAACTATGCTATAACTCAATGACAACCTACGCACCAGATATTATTGATAATTTCAATTCAACAGAAATGGAAAGTGTTACAGTAAGTCCCGATTTATTTTCAAACTCAAATGAATGTGATAAAAAATTTAACATTCTTCACCTAAACATAAGCGGAATCAAAACTAACTCTGACAAACTATTGGTGTTTATTCAAACATATAATCTAGCGAGCTGTAATGTAATAATATTGACAGAATGTTATAAACTAGATAACGATCTACTATTCCAAATCCCTGGGTACAGTCTCTACTACAATAATGGTGACTTTTAATTCTTATGATGGACTATTGATTTACACCAAATCTTGTGATGACGTTGTTATAGATACTGTTAAGCTTCTCAATTGTGGCATGAGTGTTACTAGTATTAAATTAAGACTTAGATTTTTAAGTGTATGTATAACAGCAATGTATAGGTCTCCTTCGTCAGATATTTCAGACTTTTTAAACGAGATTGATTCATATGTTGCTGATAGGCACAGTTGTGACATAGAGCTTTTCATGGGAGAAATAAATATAGATACTTTGTCTAACGATGACCGAAACATCAACAGTTACCTATCAGTTCTAGCTGCGCATGGCTTTGCTCCTATGTTTCAGGACTTTACCCGTCCCGAATCAGGCACGTGCCTTGACCATGTCTTTTTACGAAAAAAAAAAAATATGAAGTAAGCTTAAGTCCATATGTTATTAACAATGAACTGACAGACTATTTACCCATTTTAGTGAATATATCTTTAAATAACGAACATGGAAATGCTCTTGATGTCCAGTCACTTGATAAAACAATTATTGTTAGCAAAATTGATAATAATCTGATGAAGGACTTGGCTTTAAAATTTGATTGGAATATCATGCTCAGGGAGAAAAACCCCGAGAATGCCGCGAATATTTTGATTACTGAATTAATTAATATAATTACCAAATCGAGAAAGTGGCAGTGGCGTAGCCAGCCTTGCGGGGCGGAGGGGGCAAACATATAAGGGGCGCATAGTTTTTTTTTTTGGGGGGGGGGCGAAAGGGGATAACAAATGAATGTTTGTATACTTTTCAAATATTTGCTTATTGGGGTAAAATATTAAAGACGGCGCCGCCGGAGGCGAAAAAATCAGAAAATTTCCTGGGATTCCACGCCGAAAAACATTTACGATAAGCCTTACAAGAAATAATGTGTGGATATGCCGGTAACTTCAAAAAATCCTCCCGGACGTCTCCGGACGCCTTAAAAACTAGAACAAATCCGGGAAAATCCGGACGGATGACAGCCCCACCCAACCCATTAACCCATAGTTTAAAAAACAAATACCACATCAATCATCAAAACAGAGACTATTACCTTTCCTTCGATTGAACTGAACCATTTGCCGACAATGCCGACTTACGATAAAGAATAAAGGGTGAAGAGGTCAATAAAATAAATAAGAAACAGCATAATTTTACAATTTCTTATTTTTTAAGTGAGGTAGGGGCGCCATTCGTGTAGGGGCGGGGGGGGGGGGGCGTCGCCCCCCCTGCCCCCCTACTGGCTACGCCACTGGAAAGTGGGTAGAAGTAACGCATAAGTTTAAAAAAATCAAACCATGGATCACCAATGGAATCATAACATCAATAAAAAAAACGAGGCAAATTGAAAAAAAATATAACATCTCACTCTAGTCCTCAAAAAATCAGTGAATATAAGGAATATAGGAATAAACTTAACAAAATAATAACACAAACAAAAAATAATTATTACAGGGAGAAAATTAATCAGGACAAAAATCATAACTGAAGCTACAAATGAATCTAAAACTAAAAACGTTTCACTTCAACAAATCAAAACACAAAATAATGAAATCTTATCGAATCCAAAAGACATTGCTAATTTTTGTAACAACTATTTCACTAACATAGGAATAAAAATGTCAAAACAGATAAAAAAATTCTTCAGAACCATATCGAAACTCATTTGAATCAGCAACTTCCATGTATTTGACACCAGTTACTCAAAATTAAATAATTCAGCATATCAACAGTTTAGAAAGCAAATGTGCTTCCGGGATTGACGAGATTACTTCAATGATTGCAAAAATCTTAAATCCATGTTTGGTTGAACCTTTGAAACATATCATAAATTCTATCTCTGAAACGGGCATTGTTCCAGTAGGTTTAAAGTCTCAATTTTCACCCCTATATAAAGGGCAGGCAATAAAGATATGAATAACAATTATCGTCCCATAAGTGTGATCTCCAACATAAGTAAAATCTTTGAAAAATGTCTTGAAAAGCGATTAATAAGTTTTTTTGAGACTAATAACATTTTTAAGTTCAAACCGGTTTGGTTTCAGGTAGGGGGCGAGTACAACAGATGCAATGTATGAGTTGGTAAGTAAGATCACTGGGAGCCTGGATCGGGGAGACACATTGCTGTTTTTCTGGATCTAGCAAAGGCGTTCGACACGATGCCCCATGATAAACTTCTTGATGTC